CTGAGATTCGAGGACACTAAAAAAAATACGTGGTCGTTGAGATCGAACGAAAGAAAAACGCGAAGTAATAACTATTTCTAAGGTACTAAGCAACTCTCGAGGTTCCTGTCTGCAAAAGATGCTTTTCTAACATAAAACGTTGGTAACGACGATTATTAATATTATATTTGAATTATTATTATTATTATTATGATTATAGATTACGATATTATATTTACATATATGTGGTCATGTATTGATTATTATCTATATAAACGTTACAGCGTTGAACTAGCGTACATTTTTAACACACGTACACACACACACACACACACACACGTTCCAAACAGTGACATCACACGAGACATTTTGTGCACATATACACGCGCATTACATATTACATCTCTATACACACATACCCGCACTCTAATACCGCTACCTAATTGAATCGCTAAATATCGAAATTCTCAGCCGATCGTCTTTCCGACCGGCACGATCCACCTTTACAGGACGTACCGGGACAAAAGGAAAAAGAGGAAACCCAGAGCGGGATCTCTCTTCATGAATCGATACCTCGCAAAATAAGACAATTAACGGGTGTGATCAAGTCGTAGAATTAATTAAGACGAACCTCGCGGAATCGCGCGACCGCAAATCCGATACTGTCTTCAGGATCATTGCAAAAACGATACAATTCTATCACTACCACTAGCACGGGGCAAGATGTTCCAAACAAACGAAAAAAAAAAAAAATAAAATAAAATAAAGCGCCCGGGTCTTGAAAACCGCGCGGGTGCTTAAGACTGTGAGAGAGAAGCGAAATTTATTTCCCTTCGCCGCGTTTCCTACGTACGTATAGTAAAGTCATAGAGAGGTGAGAATATGCACTTGAAAACGCACAAGACGATGCGCTTTGGCCGGTATCCATCGCGATCTTAGTTTTTTCGAATTTGCTCGCGAGAGACAGAGGAGAGCGACGCGTTGTGAGGAGACCGTATATATAATATTCGTCGACAAACGAATTAAACACGCGTACACGCAGACGAATACAAATTGACGGACATACCTACATTAAACGCGCGCGCGCACACATACATAACACACACACACACACACACACTGAAATCGAATTTTGCGTATGAACTCGGAGAGCTACACATCGCATATGAGCGTGACTCTCAAAACGCGGCTTACGTACGTACGCGCGTGTACGCAAAACCGGCGCGTCGGTTTTGGCGTTTTGAGTTTCGAGTACGGAGATTGCGTGATAGAGTAACCGAACCTCGCTAGCTGTTCCTAAAAATCAACAATGAGTGAATGATAAGCGTGTGCGCGGATTATGTAATGGAGTGATGAGCTAAACGATACGAGAACGATATGAGGAAACGAATGCTATATACATATATATATTACTGCGTTGCGGAAGAATTAAGCGCGGCCGAGACGTCGCCGAGGCCGTTTTCCGTCGACACACGGCGAACGCCCTCGCGTCGCTAAAGATCGATAATATCCCACTTTCTCTCTCTTCTCGCGGACGCGAACGCGATCGATCGATCGCGAGGATCCATCGAGGACGCATTTTTACTAAGAGAACCTTTTCGCTCGACGCGGAAGAGAGAGAGAGAGAGGTGCGACACGGTTGAAACAATTTGCGAGCTTCTGTTATATGTACACTTTCATGAACTTCGGTATAACGATAACCGCCCGGCGTGTCGTGCTCGACGAGCAAACAGTCGGAATATATCTCGCGTCGGTAGAACCGTGTTCGACGACGGAAAAGGCTACGGCGATCGTCCAAAGTTTTTCATTTTTTTAATCTCGTTGAGTTTCTACGAAATATATGTTGAACGTGTCTATTTATTATTAACTCTATTGATTGCTATTGTGACTATTATTGCAATTATTACCACTATTGCGATTACTATTGTCATAATTATTATTATTATTATCATTATTATTGCGTTATTACCCTATTATCATATTATTAGTATGATTATTATTGCCGATTGACTTGCGAATTTGTTCGTGCGGTACTTGATTGACTATTAATTAATAATGGATACTAATTGATAACGATAGCGACTAATTCTTGTGAGAGATTGCCATGTGTATATCTATATGTACTCACTACGGGGCACCGTCAGCTGCGCGTGGGTCCGCACACCCACCGATGGCGCGGGGCAACCCGAAACGCCGGCCCGGGCAACCTCGATGATGTTGGCGCCGCGCACATCGGCTCGGCCCGCGATCGGAGGCACGATCGATCGAACGAAATTCCATCTCTTGGACGCCCCTTGGACAGACGGTAACGCGGGATAAACGCCGCTCTTTGCGTCTTTCGCGCCGGGCCCTTTTTGTAAAACGCGGAGACGCAAACAGATCGGCGACGATCACGAAAAAAAATCTTGGCAGCTTCACAGGGAAACAACGGTGACGTAAAATTCATCCATATGGCACTTTATCCTGGAGGGACATCCTGAGGACATTCCACATGGTACGTTCTAAGGACATTCCCAGAACGTTCTTCTAGAACGTCTTTAGAACGTTTCTTCGAGGTCTGTGCTCTGTATACAGGCAAAAGTGACCGGTATAAATTTAGAGAGAAGATACACGTGCGTTTTACCGCGAGAATACACGAACCGCGCGTCTCATCACTACGTTCAATTGCGTTTCACATACCTTCGACACGTTAAATACCCGTACATCGCATCTTTGGTTCTCCAGCCAGTCGGGGGATTCCCACTCGTTTCGTTGAACTTTCGTTTGACTCGGCTCGTCGCATCGCGCGCAGTTGTACTCCGCGAGGGTAACGATTTCGCGCGATCGATGATCGAACGAGGGACGAGATACGGCGGGGCGAGTTCGCGAGTTTCCTCCTGTGGTCACCGCTTCGAGACTTATGCACATATTCGCGCGCGCGCGCGCGCGCGTGTGTGTGCAGACTTATTATTATCCATTCCCGATGCCGCTCATATACACGTAAACGCGCGTCTGAATTTTCTAACG